GAGAGAGAGAGTGAGGAATGGGTGCGCTGCCGGAGGAAGAATGGCAGTTCAAGAATCCCACTTGAACAGGCCAACGACGCCGTCAAGAGCAGTGAGGAACGATAGGGGGATCGGCCCCACAAAAGAGTAGGATCTTCGCTCTGGCTAAGCAGTAGCGGCAGAACAAGAACTGCAGCATCACTCAGCCACAGCCTGGCATTGGAAATAATTGCCATTCCATCGGGATGCAACAACTGGCTCCTACTGGCAATGGAATGAACCAACCCAAACCAAACCAAGCCCCAAGTTCCATGTGTTTCACTTCATTTACAACAAATGTTGCGTGTCTGGCAGGCAGCAAAAGGGGAGAGACGGAACGGAACGGAACGGAACGGGACAAGTACCCTTTGGGGAGCTGTCGTATGTGACGAAATTTCATTTGATTTATGCACTCTCCCTACTGAGAAGTATTTGCATGGCTTTGCTGATCCCTCTTTGCAGTAGTTTTATGACCAAATCAAATACAATTCGCCACAAAGTAAACACTTTCAGTGGCAATATGTTTCACATGCGAGATGATGCAAGTTCTATGTGTAAACACAGCTGTCAATCACAATGAAATATGCGTTAACTCGCACGGAATTTACTATATAATGAGCATGGCCTAAGAACTAATCGATTTACGTACAGCTAAACGCTCAGCATTAGAGAGAGAAGAACAAGTGGTTCCAAGCGTTCCATTTTGATGGATTGTTATACTCACTCCCCCCCGCATCAGACCGTTTACAAGAACACACACATAATGGATCGATGGATGGATGGATCTTCCATGTAAAAGCAGCGAGTTCCAAAAACATTTCGAGTATATATTTCCATTTCTATTCAGATTGTCTGAATTGATGAACTCAAAAAGGAAACAAAAATTCAATCAATCTTTCTCTTTTTCCACTGGGGGACTGGAACTCCAACGCGTGCTCTTGTCATTTTCGATGTCCCCACTCTTCCAGCTTTTGCCTTTGCGTCTGCGCAACGCATTCAATCACTTCATTTGTTTGGAGTTCGTCATCGTCTTGGTCTTCAGCTGGGTTTCCATGGCGGCACGTTCGTTGAGGCTGTAAAATGTTTTATTTACTCTGCACTTATGACCCCGATGCGGATCGGGTTAAGTGAATCTGATACCCATATGCATACACTCATGCCCATTCGTCGCAACGGAGGCTGTTGCATTTGCATCTTCCACAATTACCGAAGCTGAGACGACTGTTGTCTGTTCGCCGGAAGATGAGCATCGCCAGCGGAGCCGAGGTGGAGGAGGTGGAGGTTATTGAATGTCATTGTAACCAAACACAGACAAATGTTGTGGCAACGTTGCTGTGCAGCTGGGGCCGAAGCTCTTCTCCGACTCTCGCAATGTTTTTGTGTCCAATGATGAATTGTGTCCCTGATTCCGTAGACATAGGCACAAACATGATCACTGTCTGCGGCGAGGCACAGTGGTTACAATGCTGTTTCTTTACTGATGAAGAGTTGAGTTTTACTTTACTTTCCACTGTGCGAGTTCCATAAGTTGCTGGAGTTTGACACCAATTGAATGGCAACAACAAAAAGGCAGAATGCCGATTAGTATATACACTTGAAGAAAAAGCTGTGTGCAGCCTGCATCTTTTGTGTCTTTAATTGCAGAATTGTGAGCGAGACTTAGGAGCTCCGGGCCCTCGAGTGCAACCTTCGTTGTCTGCCCGCAGATGATGCTGCTGCCGGGCGATTGGGGGCCTCATGCAGATCCAGAGTACAGCTGCGTTCCACACAACTGCATCACTGTCTCGGCAATGGCTTGGTGATTAATTGACAGTGGTGTCGCCTGAATTGCGCCGGTTTTATTGAAGGGATTACACGACAGGCGGACCAGTCACAATTCCATAAAAACGCATCACGCCAGTGCAGTGAGCATTCGCTTTACTCGTAATAAGATTAATTACGAGCCTCTTGCCACGACTCTAGATCTGCGGATCCTCGACGGCATACAGCTGCGTGACCACTTCACATTTATATAGAAACGAAGCGGAGGGGAAGGGATGGTGGCTGGGCAACTCCTCAATTCAATATTTTGACATTACAAATAAAGTTCCCATTTGATGGCTCTCAAGTGTTTCATTAATTTGAAAGCTTTTCGGGTACTTTATACCCCTCCAATGTACACCAGAACATCGGAACCAGGCAGGGGGTACGTGTTAATCCCAGCCGGAAATTAGCATATTTGATTCCTTAGCTCCTGGTGGCACGCGAGGCAGGCATTATTAGGGGTACAAATGAATAAGTGTGAATTGAATACCCAAAGAGAAACTCTTTCAGCACTTATGGAGACTCCCCTGTCTGCCAGGAAGCGAAAGTATGAACAAATAAAAACAATTACATGTTTTATTTTTAATGAACTTTTCTCGTCTCCCGAGCTGAATAGTAATCCGCGGCAGATACATCTCCCTCATAAGTCCCAAGACGAATTGGCACTGATGATGTCATTCCCGCAGCATTCATCTACCATAAATCACTGGCCGAAGCGATCGCGAATATCTTCCAAGTTTATGCTCAAACATGCTGAGAGGCAATGACAGCAGTTGGGGAGCCACGGAGCCAGCGAAAGAGCCAGCATGCAGTGAAGTGAAGTGGAGCCAGCTGCCACAGATTAGTCAGCGTCAGATTCGGATACAGATTCAGTGCGAGTTCTCCGCTCGGCGCACTTTAATTTGCTACGGGGGCAAGCTGCTCGACTGGTTCTCAAACCAGGGCAGGCAGCGCAGGGCGGGGATGTGGGCCACATGGACTAAAGATCAAGGTGAGTGGCGGGAGGAATGTTTGGCGAGAAGTAGTCCCTGCATACGAAACTCTTATATAATGTGGGGCATTATAGTCTCCCCAAAGATCAACTTTCTTCTCTCCTAACAGCCAAGATCAGCTAAAGATTTCTTTGCTCAAAAACAAATATCAACAGCGAACACCAAAAATAAACCAACCGCAAACAGAGCCAAATCAGCAACTCAAACAGAAATTCTGAGGTTGGCAAAGGTTAAGGTGGGAGATTGGATAAAACTTGCTGCACGAAGGGAATTTCTGTTGGTTTGAATCCACCCAAAACGTAAACTAGCATTTGTATGCACAAGATGCCTGCCATGTAGCCGTAGACATATGTACATAAATACAAATTTATGTACTGCTGTCATTTGGCCATGACTCACCTCACCTCACCTCACGCCTCGACGAAAGCCATCGCGTACATAAAGTGAAAAGGCCCAAAAGCATGAGTAAATGCACATTCATGGAAGAAATAAACGTCTGTAGCCACATAGGAGCGTGACTCGTTTCTCCCCATGCTACGTTTTGTGGTCCCACCAAGTCGTTGGGCCCGTCATTCATTCACGCCAAGAGCTGATAAGTTTTTGTGGCACATTTGACTCGTTTGCATATCTGAGTGGCCAACGGAGCTGTGGCCTGCCTGCCTGTGGCACCATTTGATATTGGGAATGGACAACTGCAGATTGCGGCTTCAACTGACATTATCACTTCTCACTTGGCTTTTATTCGGCTGCAGCAGTGGCGCACAGGAATTCGGCCTAATCCTTCACTAATTGAATCATTAAACTAAACACAAGAACGAAGACTCCACGTCTAGGCCTGCTTCTCCGTGGTCCAGCCCTTGGGGCGATCGGCCATAATGCTCCAATCGTTTTCGGCAATGTTGACGCCGCCGTACTGCTTGGTGGGCGAGTCGGGGAAGAACTCCCAGCCCTGCTCAATGGACATCTTTTTTATGACACCGGCAATGCCTGCAAAAAGCAGCAAAAGATTATTAGAAACAATGCAAATAGACCGGGGAGCTAACTAACCTAGGAAAAGTCCAGCACAGAGACCGGCCACATGGTTGTGTTTCCATGCACCGAAGACGCCACCCGCAGCAAATCCGCCCAGCAAGTAGTTAATTCTGCAATATAAATAATCGTTTATCCAGGCAGCCAGTCCAAGGTTCTTTTTGCCCACTCACTTGTCGTCCTTTCCGCGAGCATTTGTGGCTGCCAGTGTGGTGAGGGTAAATGCCGTGGCCATGCCCATCAGCGGACCCGTGTTGTAGGCAAAGCGCCCCAGTGTGGGCAGGTAGCCCTTTGGCTTAGTCAGCGTCAGCACATCAACTGTGGACCAGGCCAGGCCGGCGGCGAGTGCGTATTTGTTGGTGGCCACAATCTTGCCAAAGGCATCCTCCCCATCGGGATGATCGTAGTATTTGGAGCGTAAGATCGACATTGTCGGCTAAAAACACACGGAAAACTTTAGACACAAACAAAAACAAGGAAATATTTTCTATCCGCTGCCATTTAAGTACAGGAGCTGCCTCCAGCATTGTGGGGTATGTCTGCCTAGACATTGAAGCCTATTCCGATTGGAGTGCAATCACAATTAATGTAAGATAACTAACCTGTCGAAATTTACGTAATTTCAGAAATTTATTTGACAACAAACAGCTGATGGCAGTGTGCAGTGTGACCGCGGATTTATCGATAATATATACCGACAGACCCTCGGAAATATACCGAAAATATAGTGTACATATACCGTAAATCTTAAATCATTTTCCTCGACTTTGATGTTCTATTTAATATTACCAGCTACTTATGATTCTGAGCGCTAACACTATAATTTTATCAGAATCATCAATCAATATTTCACAAGATTTTCTGACTTTTAGGACAATATTGCGATGAATATACAGTAAACTCATTTTTTTAGTTCAAATATCCCCAAAAGTATATTATATACCGTAAATTGTCTCCCTGGGGTGCAGTGTGACCGCGGATTTATAATATACCGAAAACTACAGCAGAAATCATTGCAGTGTGTACACGCGAAAATAAATATTACTTGTAATGCGTTACATATTCAAAATGAAATAGCAATTCAAGTGGAGCCAAAAAGGACGCTTTGGTCGCTAATTCTAAGACCCGAAACAATAGCACCACTAAAAGACAGCAAACTTTCTCGTGTTCAAGTCCGGTTTTTCAATTTATTCGCTATACTAGATTCACAAACGCTGTGGCACTAATATTAGTTTAGTTGTTCTTTAATCATAAGGTGCAATAGAACGCTGTTTATTAATGTAATTTATATTTCCCACGCAACGAGAAGAGAAGTTTTGTTTTATGCGAAAAGTATTATAGAGTAGAGTGCAGAATATTAGACGATGCGATTTTGAATTTTGTATGCGCTTAGCTTAATGGTAGACTAGTTCTTGCCTTGAGTTTCAACTAACATTATTCACATGAAATTCACGCACTTGATGGGGACTGCATTTTGGTGGCATGGCATGCCAGTGGGATTACGAGTGGGTGTGACCAAAGTGGGGAACAGATTCACAGAGCATGAGGATTGGCGGGGCCATACAGTTGGCAGAGCAGTTGGCGTTTTCGAAAACAAAACGAATACAGTATCAAAACATACAATATGTATATACAAATTAGATATCAAATTATTGGCAATTCTGTTTCATGTTAATCAGTCGTAATGCTCCACGTCGTTTAATGAAATTTTCGAATTATTTCACTCTCTGCTCCTCTGCAAATTATTTCATCAAAATTAGGTCTTCATCTTTAGCCATCAAATTCGAATTGTTTATCAGAGTAGTGTCCGCATCTCTATTGCTCATCGTGACCAATTATTTCAATATCATCAGCCAGGGGACTCTCGATGCCGGGCATACCCACATTGCCATTTTGTTGATTTGCATCCAAATTAATCAATGATAATGTCATTTTGCTGCTAAGAATGACCTGAAAGCGAGAACAAAAGTAAGTCAGAGAGGAACTTGGATGAGTGCGCTTCCCTTTAACTTACGGCTGGTTCCTCGGCGGATCCATTGAGCTCAGCATCGTAGACCTCTTCGCGCTTGGTCTGGGCGTCGGCCACCAATATCTGTGAATCGTGTGCCAGAGCGCCTTCCAAGTAAATGGACTGCGGCTCGGGTAGATTTCCTTCCAATTTGGACTGCAATTGAAGGAGTAAACGAGTTGTTATTGAGGCAAAATGTTAGTCATTGGAAAGCGGTTGGTATTGGTTGGATCTGTTGTCGGGGCAGGTGGCACTTACATGTTCGCTTGGTGCTCGGAAAACAGGCGTTGGAGGGCGTCCGGTCCATTTGCGACCGCCCTCGCAACTGGCTGTTACCTCCATGCCCAATACCTGACCAAACAATGGGTTATTTACATCAACAAATCTACGAATATACAGATATAGATGTCTTTACCGTTAGTTCTCGCTCAGCGCTTAGGTCCCGACGCTTTCTCTGCTGCTGTTTGCCTGCCGCACCCTGGTCGCTGATGGTGTTTACATGCCCATTGGAAATGTTCTCCTTCTCCAGTTGTTCTTTCGTTTTTTCGCTGTCGTTTTGCTGCGGGGTGGTATAGGGAAAAGTTATAACTTCCAGCTGTCAGTAGCGGTAAGAACTCCGTATTGAATTCAAGCATTTTGTACAGCCGCAAAAAACATTAAAAATCATAATCGAGAAATAAATTACTTCAATTTGTGGTTAGGTGAAACGCAACAAAACTCAATTAGTCGCAGGTTCTTGGTTAATAAACAGAAAGAATACATAATTAGATATTCAGATAATGAACAGTACATTATTATCTAAAGGTAATGTTCAACGATTGCCGTGTGGGACCCTTTGACGGCTTCTAACCTTATTCAAATCAGTTTCAGTATCAGTATCACTCCTCTGCTTGTCTCGAACGTTCAATTGCTCATCGGCAGCGTCTATCAAACCTTGTATCGCCGTTACAACTATACAGAATTCGTGATATCGAATCATGGTTTTTGTTTTGTTTCATTACATCACACAATAAATTGCATTTTTTCGATTTTGTGGTTTGGATTACACATGAGAGTGAGAAACATGAAAAACGTAGAAACGACAGATACATGTGAATATTTATATTGTAAATCCTATAGCGTATAGTACATATAAATGGCATGAGTAACGAGTATATTGGCAATGTGATGTTCCAGTCTAGACTCTAGAGAATACTATGGCATTAATTTCGAGTAGAGATTGGCCCGATTTGAATTGTAAAATATGTCCCCATCATAAGAATTTAGTTTGAAACGGTTTAGACAGAGGTGCAGGTAGTTAATACATTTATATATATTAAAGTTAGTTAGTATTTGGGGAAGTTATATCGCATGCCGATCGAATGCGGACGAGCAAGAGCAGAGATAGAGCGGCAGAGATAGAGTTCTCCGCTCCATGCAATAGTTACAGACACAGAGAGTGACAGTCGGAGAGAGTGAGAGAGAGAGACAACGATAGTATACACAGAGGATAGATAACGGTAAACATGCCGCTGCTGGGAATGTGTACAAGAAAATGAAGTAGAATGGGGTAGGGGAAAGGGGAAAGGGGAAAGGGAAGAAGGGGAGCAAGAGAAACCATTCCAAAGAGATATTCAAATGCATTTCATTTCATCTATCTACTAGAAACCAAAAACAAAGAAGTAATCTATTTGTTGGCTTGTACTTAGGTATGGATCATTGATCTGATATTGGTCTGATTGATTGATTGATTGTTTGATTAGATGTGAATTGAATGTTGGTTTTGTTTTTGGTCTCAGAAATTTGGCTGCCGCTTGAGAAACTTCATGGCAACCATCTTGAAAAATGAGAACACAAAGAAACAGGATAAGTATTAATAAATGATATCGAAATGTTGACATTGTTGTCATTGGTGCCTGGCTAACTGAACGAGTTCGCTACGATCGTAAAAATGATATAGAAAATGCTATTTTTTTTGTATCTGTAACTGGTGCGCTGGTAACGCTTGGTGACGATGCTAACCTTTGCCTCATACTGATCGGTGTTCATTTCGGCAATCAGCTTGGCCATCGCTCGCTCCGTGTCCTCGAGCTTCTGGCGCAGCTTCTCAATCTCCATCAGCTGCTCCTTCTCCATCTTCTCCTGGTGCTGCTTGAGCGAGTTGGACAGACTGCTGGCCACCTCGGTGGCCGACACGCTGACATTGTAGAGCTCCTCGTCGTGGCTCCGCTGTCTTCCATTCATGGGGGCCTCGAGCGCCTGCGCCTTAACAGCTGCACTTCCTATAAAATTTGCGTACGAGTTTTGCTTTGAGATTGAGATTGAGGCCAAAAGGAGACAAACAAGCTAATCTATGTACAGGGTGGGGTGTAGGGAAAATCAGAGCAAACTAAATGTACATAAATATATGGATTCATGTGTGAGGGGGGTGGCCGTGACTCAATCTGTGAATTTATGATTGGTTTATGAGTTAGTAAACACTTAGATACAACATCTAGGATACAGCTAGGATACATCTAGGATACGCAATAAACAAAACACGAGTATAAACATATATATCCGCAAAAAGATACTAAAACCAAATGAGGAGGACATATTTCAAAACTCAAGAGTGGGCGAAGCTTCCCTTCGCCATCATCCGTGGTCTAGAACCGAACTCAAGATACGATACGAACAAATTTCATTGGATCTTCCATATCTGGCTTACTTGTCTGGTGTTCTCGCCAGCCTTTTATCGCATGTGCAGGCGGGACAGAGGCAATTCAGATGTGTGTGCATGGGCGGGACGAAGGAAGCAGAAAAAGTACAAAAATGATTGATGGCTCGGTTAGGATCGACTCGTGGGTTAAGTTGTGTTTTTGTGTATACAGTGGATGGTGGATGGTGTGTCTGCTGCATTGTGTGTAACAACTACAAGAAAAGTAAGTCATAAATGTGACTGCAACTAGCCGAGCACTCACCCAATTTGGTGCCGCCCAAATCCTCCACTTGGCTGTGCGCCTGCTGCCCGAAGACTTGCTGCCGGAAGCCGGGATCCGATGGTGCTGGTCCGTATGGTGCGTTGGGCACTTGCTTCTTGAATGCAATCTGCGCAGGAATTACGATGAGGAATGTCACTTTATGGGCAGAATGTGTTAGTGCTTACCTTCATTATCGTGTAGCCAAAGAACACGACAATTCCGATGGTGTAGAGTGGCATTAGAAAGCCCATGCTGCTGCCTCGCTGCTGTGGCTGTTGCAACGCTCCGGCGCCCATTGGAGGACGCATGCCAGGAATCGGACCAGGCTAAATAGGGATGAAATTAAAGATTATCTTGCAATTGAACAGACTTCTCATGCATTCTGTAGTTATGTGGCATTCATATTTATAATGAACATCCGGCTAAATAATTTTGGACAGGTCCAACCTATAGTTCATTTGTTCCCTGTGTTTCTTTTTCTTTCCATTTCACTCAGCTTTTGTGGTATGAGATGAGAATTTGGCACAAGTTCAATACGACCTGCGACCGAGTACTACTATCGCCACATTCTGTTGCTTCTGTTTGCTCTCCCACTCATCCTTTACAGTTTCTTTTGTATATTTTGTTTTGCGCTGTCTTTTGCCTTCAGTTTGCGTGCAGTGTCATAAAAACAAAACCAAAATCCAAATAAAATAAACTTTTCGTCTATTTATAAATGACTTCCAACGAGAGCGATGATGTCTCATCCCTCCAACCCATCGCCAGCGGCGTGATTATGCTGATCGTCGTGACCATCATCATCGAATTGAATGATTGACTGCACAATGCACATCAAGATGGAGCACTCACCCGTCCGTCAACGATGCGCGGTGGCGGATTGCTTGGCGAACTTTTGCGCTCAACAATGGGCACTGTGGGCGTGGCAGGTATGGCGCGTCCTCGCTCCCGCATTGCCTGATAGATGGACTCCGGATGCAGGTGGGCCGGACGCTCCTGCCGCAGACCTGGGAAGCATACAACATCAATTATTTTGTGCCATGAATCATTAGCTTTTGACTTTGGAAATATAACACAAAATGAGGTTAAGGTAAGCAAAGAACCCTTAAGAATGGGATGTGAAAGCCTTTTGAAAGTTAGAGCAGAAATGCAAATATCATTTGCGATTGTTAACGGTAAGAAAGTGCTCCAGTGGGTATGGACAACCTACTTATTTCACCCGTGTACAGGTTTACATGTTTCCGGTACAGGTGGGGGCCAAAGGGTACGGCAGCATCCGGCTTCGACGCGTTCATGAATTGCTCCCTGTCAAGCACGACATCGCAACAGCCTACAACACCAACAGGACACGCGACACACACACCACACAGACACAAGGACCGACAGACACCGACAAACACACAACGACAATAATAAATAAAAAGAATTAACTAATAAATTCTGTCTGTATATTCTAATTGCGGAAAGATTGCCACTCACCGCCCGGTGCCCCGCTCCTCTGCTCCTTTAGGTTCTGCTGTTTGGGCAGCGGCGCAGAACCGAACATCATGGGATGGAAGACCTTTGGCCACAATATGGCAATGCATCCTATGACGGTGACAATGATCAGGGCCGTCTTCTTGGGCGTCATACCCTCCTCCTTGACGGCGGATGGCCGCTTCTTTGCCGTCGCTGACTGTGATGGCGCCACTGCTGCTGAAGACATTTCGTAGTCGTTCGTTCCAATTCGTTTCTCTCCAAGTTAAAGCTAAAACCTAAGGCTTAAGGTATTCCTGATGTGTTTTTTGGTTCGTTGAGTTGATTTGCTCTCTGAATGCGGCTGCTAAATGTTTTGGCTCCAGTTTGCGGTTAACTTTGACATTGGCTCATTTTGTGTTAAATGTAGATTGTGTTTCTGTACGGTACGTTTAAAGCATTATCTGAAATAAACAATATATGTACATAAGTCCCCATGTAGCACGCTCCAGTTCACTTTCACTACATCGGGAGTTGTTCACTTCACTGATCACAATGCGAAATCGTGTACAACTACATAAAAATATTGTTGTGGGACAACAAAAGAAAAAAACTTTATTACATAAATAGCGGTCCCGATATTTTTTATTTTTAGCTCGCGCAATTCGGTCTTTTCGGTCCGTCTAATAATTTTTCGTTATTTTTCTTTCTGTCTGCACACTGAAAAAACTGTCGGCCGCTTTCCACAATTAACGACCGCATAAATAATATTAAATGTTTTTCCAAAAATCCATTTCAATTGCTTTATGGATATCTGTGTGGCGCGGACCGAGCAGAAAGTTTTCCCGGAGGAGAAAAGTTCTTACGCAGAGTTCGAATGTTGTTCCCGAACTGGCCAGGCAATTTTCTGAAACTATTAGCGAATTTTTATAAACGGCGCACGGCCCCGTCGACACGACTTCTTAGATCGCTCTCTGCCTTCGTGGTGCTCTTCTTGCTAATCGTCGGCGAGCATTGGTCCGTTATTTTTGCCGCTATAACGGCAAAAGTCAAATAAAATTAAATAATGAGTGCGACAAAACGATTTGAAACGTGGGCCCCTGCACTCGCTGTGGGCAAGGAGTGCGATTTGCTCTCCTCCCCATTCCGACCATTTTTGCATACATATGTATTTTTCTGTTTTGATATTTTCCGTTTTCATTATTTCACAGCTTTCTTCTCTCTCTCTCTCTCTCTCGCTCTTTGTGTCTTATTAACACACACACGCGAACATTGGCACTCATATTTATGTACATTTGGGAGAGTACTCATATGTATTATGCATTTTCTGCGGTTTCTCCCAAACGTTTTCCACTTCCATTTCGCTTTCAAACGCAGTGACTGCGACTAAGCGAAAGTAAAATTGTTTGGCCGGGCACTGTTGTAGCTTTTTCCATGTTAACCGTTGCAGACACACCTGGATTTGGGGACTGGATTTTCCGACCGTGCCAAAAGTACTCGCGCGCCTCGGAATGTTTGCTATTTTATTTTTGGAGCCACGGCATTGAAACAGGGTTCAATGTCGCACAGCTTAAAGCATATACTCATAATTTATTTTTAATATTATGAATTTTAGCGTCGCGGCCACACGAACTGTCTGTTTAGTTATGTTGTCCTTGGCGGTTTATTTGATGAATTGTGAGGATACCATGCAGTTGTAGTAACAATATTTACCAGTTACGTTAGTGTATATATTGACTGTATTTAAATATTCGTTAATTTAACTAATTACTGCTAATTTCAAACCGCGAGTTTGTCGTTATTCGAATCTAAGCATAAAACGCCAGACTGCAGCATATTGATTTTTCCGCCGAAGACACTCCCCTGGTCACACTTCTCCGCGTGATATCGATACCTGAACATAAATTCGATATATTCCAGGGCTGTTTTGCACTTTCCATCATATGAAAAATTCAAATACAAAAAGTCACTGCGGGAGGAATAGATAAAACATTTCAAGAAGAGGAAATCGTGAAAACCAGACAATCTTGTGGATTATTGATTGATACAACAATAGAATTTCTTTTGCTCTTTTTTTATGATATCAGTTAACCTACATGTGTCTCAACGTATTACATACATTTACATACCGAAGAAAAAGCTCCCGTGCTTCCAGAGGGGGTGATTTGAATGAAAAATTCAAATACAAATTTGTAAAATATAAGGTCATAAGGTATACAATCCAATCAAAAGGATTATTTATAATAAGCAAAATTGATTCTTCAATCGGATTAAATTATTGTTTCAGTGGTGAAAGTTTTTGCAAGCTAGTAATATCAAATAGAACATCAAAATCGATGAATCTGATTTAAGACTACGGGATAATTACGGTATATTTTTAAGATGTAATGGTATATTTCCAAAGGTCTGTTGGTATATTTGAACGATAACTCCGCGGTTACACTGGTAGCGATAACCAACAAAAAAAAAACAAAGAAAAATTAACAATTTTTAAATACGCATATTCCGCTGAACGCTGAAATCTCCTATATAATAGACCTTGGAAAAAGCAGCAGGTATCGAGACTCGAGTTCGTATAGCCTGAAGTGTGTCGGAAAAGCGCGCCTGGCGTGGCTAGTTTTTTTATTTTGTTGCAAAGAAAGTGGAGCAAACAATGGAGGAATCGTGGGCCTGTGCATCGGTGGAAAAGGACCTCGACCGAGTGGTTACCAAACTAGAGCAGCTGCGCGACAATGCCTCGGCCGATGTGGGGGACATTGCCATTCTAATGTCGGACCTGGTCAATGCCCTGGGAAATGCCGAGCAAATGGTGACCACACTGAACTCCAGCACGCAGGTGAATGCCAATGCACCGAGCGTAGACGACCCAATGGGCGATGGTGTGAGCATGCAGGTGGAGACGGAGCCAACTGCACCGCAGCGTCCCACTGATCGCCACATGGAGGTCATCAGGGGAGCCATTTTAAAGTGCAATGAGAGAGTCCAGAAGCTATCCACAGAGCATCGTGACTTGCACGGTTCCATATCAAAAATTGGCAAGGCCATTGACCGCAATTTTAGCGCCGACTTTACATCCACCATGCGTGTGGATGTGCTGCAAGATGAGGATAACCTGATGCTGCTGAACAAGGCCATTGCCAAGCACTATTGCCGTCAGGGCATGGACACGGTGGCCCGCACATTGATCAAAGAATGCAAAATGACAGAGGACCAAGCCCAGGATGTGTTCGATTCGGAGCGAGAGTTTGCCGATATCTACAGCATTTGGATGAAGATACAGAAGCGGGAGCTGACCGAGGCCCTTAAGTGGACAAAGCGCTACTCGCCGCAGCTCATGGAGCGGCAGTCGCTCATCGAGTTTCGGCTGCACCGCATGCGCTTCATGCAGCTCGTCTCTTATGGTGTGGAGTCGCAGCACGAGGCCGTCGTCTATGCACGGACGAATTTCAAGAAGTTTGCGCTGCGCTATGAGCACGAGATAGCCAACCTAATGGCCAGCTTTATATATCTGCCGGCCGGGCTGGAGAACTCGCCGTACAAGCACTTCCTGGGCCAGGAAATGTGGACTGAACTGTCGTTTATATTTCTTAAGGATGCCTGCCAGCTGCTGGGCATTAGCAAGAACTCCGCCTTGTCTGTTGTTGTGAATGCTGGCTGCACTGCACTGCCCGCTCTGTTGAACATCAAGCAGGTGATGCAGTCCCGCCAGGTGCTGGGCATGTGGAATGGCTGCGACGAGCTGCCCATTGAGATCGATCTACAGCCTGAGTTCCGCTTCCACTCAATCTTCGCCTGCCCCATCTTGCGCCAGCAGACCTCCGAGGACAATCCGCCAAAGAAGTTGACCTGCGGTCATGTCATCTCCAACGATGCCCTCACCAAGCTCAGCAATGGCCACATACTCAAGTGCCCCTACTGCCCAGTGGAGCAGAATGCCGAGGAGGCTGTTCGTATTTACTTTTAAGCCAGACCACACCAGACCAGACCTATTCTGTATTCACCCTAAGATTATAACAATTCAATTTTGCGCTAGCACTCGGCTCCAGGCAGTTCGTCGACGACGGGTGTAGTAGAGGGGTTGGCCAGCTTTCCTTAACAATCGTAAAAGTTTTAAATAGTTTGCTTAGATTGAAGTTTTTAGACAAATTCGCAGGACGGAATCGAACTACTTGGGCCACGTTAATGTGCGAAAACGCAACATATTAACAGGGAAGCCCCTGCAAAACACTTAGATTTACAATAATATATATACTATACTCTACCATGTATTTAAAACAAACGACAGAGTGCCTTTTTCTTATAGTTTCCACTCGGATTTAGTTGTAAATCAAATCATGATCATTGTCTCTAGTGCCTATGCTTGTGCTTGTGTTTTTCGCTACGATGTTTCGTAGGCGATGCTTCCTCACGTCGATCAGAGCGTGACTTGTACGGCGATGGAGATCGTCGGGAGCGCGACGAAGTAGATGCTGGACTGTCGTACCGCGAGCTGCGTGCGGAACGCTCCGAGTAGCGTTTTGGCGAATCGGAGTTGCTGCGCGAACGATTGCGCTTGGAGGATTTGGAGCTTCGTGAGTGCGCCGGTGAATAGTCCCGCCGCTTGCTATCTCCCCCACTGTACGGGGAATGCGAACGTTTGCGAGAGGTGCTTCTGTATGGCACTGGACTCTGGCTCTGCTTGGCTGCGCTTTGCTTTGCTTTGGTGTTCATGTAGCTCAACGGAGAGTCGACGACAGTCTCTGTTCTTGAATCCTATTTTGAGTTGATTATAAGCAAATGGAAGACCAATTAAAGTGTACAAGGCATGCGCCTACCTGTTTCATCAGCCGCTTGCGGTAGTGCTCGACTTGTTCACCGACCGTCCAGCCCACTTCCACGCGTCGCTTGCCCGATTCGAGTTCATCTTGGTACTGTATGGCCTTCAATTCAATATCCCTTAACTGCTGGCGCTTCTCATCGCTATACTGCTGCGAGTTGTCGTCCTCAGTGTCCTCGTCCGAACTAAAGAACTTGGGCGGGTCTGGCGGATCTAATGTGTCCCATTTGCTAGTCGTAATGGCTTGGGCCTCCACCTGCTGTGGATCGACTGTTTCCCACTTGGAGGGTATAAAGCCCGGCAGCTTAACGTGCGACTTGACCTCCTTTTCCAGCGGCACGCCATCGAGGTCTTCATCAACTGAAATTTCACAAAGAATGAATTGGGATTCTCGGCTTAGAGGTATTCAAACTTACAGGGTACGCCATCGATTTCATCATGGTACTCCTCTCTGTTGGGCGTGTCACGCTGGGGTGTGAGAGACTCTGGCATAGCTAGCTTCAAGGCGCTCTTGAGCAGAGCAGCACCGTCCAAGGGAACACCGTCCAGATCCTCATCATCCTTATCGTCACCAGAAAGCGGTGCTCCATCTATATCTTCATCCACGGCCTCCTCAGAGCGTGTTTCCTCAATTTGTGGAGAAGTGGACGGAATAATGTACTAAAAATAAATCGAATGAAGATCCACAACGCAGGCAAAAGGGTTACGGGCTATGCAAACCTGTTTGCCCAGGAATTTACAGCGCAGCTGAGCCAAAAACTCTTTCGGATAGATGGTCCATTCCTCCCAGGTGCGTATCACATTGCAGACCCTCGACTTGAAGCCTTCCGCCTTCAGGCGACTGTCAATATTCAGGCAATAGGCATGCAGACACTCAAACACTTCCATCAATTGCTTTTCCACGCTGCAGTAACAACATTGAGCAAAACAGATGATTAAACAAATAATTTGAATAGACTTACGATTTCCTAAAGAACGAGGCATTGGACACCTTTACTGTGCAATTGTGGAGGATATCTGAGATCAAGTATAGACGTGCAATCTTCTTCGATGGACGCGTGTTGAGACTTGCCATGGACTCGGTAATGCATTCGCAAATCTCATCAGCAGCATCAGCGTGCTCGATGCAAAAGATCATGGCATCTCCGATGCGAGCACGTTCCGGGACCAGGTGTCTGATGAGATCCTCAAGACGATCGCGTTGTGCGTTGGACAGGGCTCCTTTGCTGACGACAGGTGCATCAGGATCCACAACTAGCTCATCGGGCATGCCCTGGGTATAAAAATTAGCCACTGGTGGCTTCCACACGGGTCCATTCTTGAACATGCGGAACTCCTTCTCCCGCCACTCGCTGGGCGTGTCTCCTTGACACAGCGAGAAGAGCTTCCAGCGGTAATATATGTGAGCCGGACTCTCGTTGTCGAAGAGGAACGAGAACAGCGGATTCTCCATTTCGCGAATCATTATCGATGCCTCGAACAAGGGTCCTTCGCGTATAACAAACTCAATCATGCGATGGATAACGTTGAGCACAGCCCTGGAAGGAGAGTTACATTCAGATTATATTCCACTACCATGGGACGCACTTACTTCTCTGTGGGAATGAAGACTTTCACAATTGATTTGCTAAGAATCTGAAAATACGAAATATTAAGTATTTAATGACCCGTCGATGTGTTTTAGTTTACCCTCTCCATATTCTCCTTGTCCTCTTCGTTGTCGTACTCTTTGTAGCTCTTTTTGGGCAACAAATCAGCCTCGCTTGCCGGCGGTTGGGCATTGAAGGGCAATCCCGATGGCGGCGGTGGCAGGGTCAACTCCATCAGGGCTTGTGGTGCAAATATTGGCGTGTTCATTATGGGCACAGTCTTACCCCAGCCCAGACGCATCTCATAGCCCATTATGTAGCGGCCGTTGAGGGTTCGAAGAGCTCTTTCAGCATCCTTGCGGCTCATGTAGGCCACAAAGCCGCAGTTGCGACCACGCGCCTTCTCCTCATCGGATCGTGGCCACATAATCTTGATACTAGCCAGTGGACCATAGCGGCCAAAGGTCTCCATTAGCTGCTGCTCGGATATCTTCGGATTTAGGTTGCCCAAGTAGAGATTGGTGGTATTCGGATCCCCGGTGTCAAACGAGCCCACTTCGCGGGCGTTTGCTGCCGCCTGCGAGCTGGTGGAGGCACTGCTGCTTTGTGCTGCCGCCTGCTGCTGTGGCTGCTGTTGCTGTGCTGGGGGAGCCTGAGATACGGCCATATGCTTGTACTTGTGTCGCTCCTCACGTTCTTCTTGGATCCTAAAAGTAATTCTCATTAGGTACTATGAAATCGTGGCATGAATGGTGGTAGTTGAGTTTACTGTCTTAGCTCCTCCTTAAAGAGTTCCAAGTTGCTTTTCTTCTTCTCCTGATTTTTCTTTTTCAGCGGCTCCTTTTTGAGATCTGACGCCAGCGTCTTGGCGTATTCCTCGATCTTGTCGGGTTCCTTATCCATAAGCTTCGACCAAGGCTTGTATAGTTTTCCCTTCTCCGACTTGTCCTCGCGCCTGGAGCCTGCATCGTATGTGCCGGCTTTAACCCACACCTTGGACGAGGGGGTGGGAGCTTCTTGGAACGTTTCCACGAACTCTTTGAAGGCCTAGGAGAATCAAATCATTATCAATATAGCAACAGACACGGTGGGAAGTTACTTACATGTGCCGCAGCAGCCGCATCCTCCTTTTTCTTCTGCTCCTCAATCTCTTTCTTGGACAAATGCGGCTTTGAGAATGTGCCCACTGTAAAGGCCTCCAGTTTTTTTTCGCTTATTCGCTGCAAATCGGATTAAAATGTTAAAATGCACAACCGTGGCTGCGAACGGGCTTTGGGGTGGAGATGTTACCTTCATGGAGGCCGCTGCTGCTGCAGCATCCTTGGGTTTATTCGTTTTATTCATTTTCAATCAAATAATTTACATTTTCCGCAGATATAGAGAAGACAAGTGACCGATAGGCGGGCTATCGATTTGTTGCCAGCGAATCCCATCGCTATCGCAATGTAAATTTCTAATATTGCTACAAAAAACATAAAAAATTAAATAAATGCAAAATGGACATCTGCCGTTTGTGTTTGCGCGGAATTGGCGGAGCCCAGATGTGTCTACAGATCTTCGATGCAAATGCAGCGGACAACAAGGTCGCCGAAGTGCTGCGCCAGCATTTCTGGTTCGAGGTGAGAACCATTCCATTAGTTCTTATATACACACATTAGATCTAAATACAAATCTATATGGCTCTCTCTGCCCAGGTGCTGCCCAACGACGAAATATCTAAAGTTATCTGCAATGTCTGCTGGACCCAGGTGTCGGAGTTCCACCAGTTTTATATTTCCATACAAGAGGCTCAAGTGATTTATGCCACCACCTCGAAGTTCAAACAGGATCCCGAGACGGTGAACACATCCTGGCCGGAGGAAGTATTAATGCCAGCCGATGTGCTGGCGGTGGACAATGATGTGAGTGCCCAGCTAAATGTGAATCCCCTGGATGAGCTGGAACTGGGCCAGACTCTGTCGCCGCAATCGCCAGTCGACAGTAAGGTGGATATAAAAACGGAGAGGCAATCCCCAGATCTGGATTTTTCCCTCGATGAACCAAACAACGATGACGACAACGGCGACGACGACGACGATGATGATGATGATGACTATGAGGATGAGGAAGAAGACGATTCAATTGTGACGAGGAGTGCACGGACACGAAAGGCGAGGGAGAGCGTCGCGAAGCCAGCCAAGACGAAAAGGCTGGGACAGACGGGAAACAAGGGAAAAGCTAAAGTGAAAAAACCGAAGCCAGTGAAAAGAGTGTTCAAGATGGAACGCCTTCCGCCGTTCTGCAAGGAAGATGAGGAACTCATCAAGCGATACATTGTGATGGGCTGTGAGCTGTGCATATTCTTGGCTGAAGACTTTGACGGGATAAGGGAGCACTTCAAGGAGAAGCATCCAGAGGAACGGCCATACATCAAATGCTGCGGCCGCAAGCTAAACAAGCGCTGCCTCATCCAAGAGCACGCACGAAGGCACGAAAATCCGGAATATATTAAGTGTGTGCTGGCAGATTCCGATTCCTCATCCGTAAACACTTTTAAATGTTTATCTTTCCGTAGGTGCAAGGACTGTGGCAAGGTGTTCGCCAACTCAAGCGTATTGCGCGCGCACTGGCTGGTTCACCATGTTCCCGATGAGGAGTGCGACTTCCAGTGCGAGGACTGTGGAAAGCGCTTCTCCCGCCGTAATCTTTTGGAGCTACACAAAGGCTCCCATGTGCCAGTTAACGAAAGAAAGTTCATTTGTCCCGAGTGCCCCAAGCACAATGCGTTAGTATCTCTCATGATTTTTGATTAGAGTTATGTTTATAGCCATATCCTAATCCAAATCCACAGCTTTGCCACGGAATACCACATGCAGGTGCACATTAGCATGCAGCATCGCAAGGCGGCAAATGTGTGCCATGTGTGTGGCAAGAGCATCAAGGACAAGGCCGTCTTTGAGAAACATGTTCGCCTGCATTTTGAGGAGAGTGGGCCACGCATCAAGTGCCCGCGACCGGACTGCGAGAGTTGGCTGAAGGATGAGGATAACCTCAAGCAGCACCTGAGGCGCCACAACGACGAGGGCAAGCTATTCATTTGCTCGGAGTGTGGCAAGAGCTGCAAGAACTCTCGTGCGCTGATCGGCCATAAGCGCTACTCCCACTCGAATGTGATCTACACCTGCGAACAGTGCGGCAAAACGTTCAAGAAAGACATAAGCCTAAAAGTGAGAATTAAATATTTCAAATTTGTATAACTTTTCCACAATTTATACTTGGATGCATTTTTCAGGAGCACATGGCCCAGCACACTGGTGAGCCTCTGTACAAGTGTCCCTTCTGCCCGCGCACCTTCAATTCGAATGCCAACATGCATTCGCACAAGAAGAAAATGCATCCAGTCGAATGGGACATTTGGCGGAAAACGAAGACGGGAAGCTCCCAGAAGATCCTGCCCAGTGCACAAGTGGCTCAGATGTTCCGTGACGACGCCGATGCCGCAGCTATTGCCAATGACTACACTACAGCTTAGGTTTAGAAATGCTTCATGATCGAGTTGCAACTGATTTATCTTTGTTTGAAAACAAATTATACGTAAAAATCCAAAAACCTGAATTTGGTGCAACTAGTGTCAGTTTTGTGCGAAGGGGGGGCGTGGATGTTAGTGTGAACGCGGCGTTATCGATAAAGTACATCGTCGAAAAAATACCTAAGTATATACCGTAAAGATACCAATGACATATGACAATAACAACAAATCAGCCTGCCTGCGTGGAACAAAATATACAACATTTGTACAAAATGAACGTAAGTTAATTTAATTAATACTTCCATAACATGCGCTCATTGGCTTTACATTTCGCATGAAACAGGAGTCTGAGATACCCATTGACATCCATACGCTGAAGCTGCAGGACTGGCTAATCAGCCGAAGGATTGTGCCCAAGAATATTCAACAGGAGATCAAGGAAATTCACAGCAAGATCAGCAATGCCCTCCAGGATATGCCGTCCAATGATCAGCTCATTAAATTATTGGCCAACGCAAGTGAGTGGCATGTTCCCTGGTGTTTCCTTTCATCTGTCCATGCATGTGCATTCATTTCGTTGCAGATATAAACTATTATCATGTGAAGGAGATAATTGAAATCCTCAAGCAAACGGAGAAGGATACGAAGAGCGTGTTTGGCACCTACGGCAGTCAGCGGATGAAAGACTGGCAGGAGATTTGTCGTCTGTACGAAAAGAATGCCACATATCTGGGGGAAACGGCTCAGATCTTTGTGCGAAATGTGAACTTTGAGATTCCTGGGGTGCGAAAGCAAATGACAAAGCTGGAACAACTCACCGATGAAAGCCTGAAGAGAGCCCAAGACCTGCACAAGCCGGAGGGTCAGCTACTATCAGAACATGCCGCCCTACTCGAACAGCTAGGCGTGAAGGGAGAGAATCTACACGCGGAATTCCTAGAGGTTCTGGCTGGTCTGCCCGAACTCTACACCAAATCCTTGCAGGATATTGGAAAGGTTCAGTATGGCATCGACTTGTACGCCGAGATCAGTGGGCACAAGCAATCGCTGCCCATTCTTCGTCATCTGGTTGAGTTTGGAAACACCACAGTCTATCAGTACATTCACAAGGAGGCACCCCTGGCCGTAGAGGAGCCGCCCATAAGTCTGAACCTTAGCGTGGGCATTGCTGCCAAGGATGATGCCGTTACCGAAATTGACTTTGGAACGGATGACAATGGCGGAACCTCTTCCACCGTTTCGGCGGAAATCATTGATTACGGTGACTTTGGGGGCGGGGATCTGCCGGAGAGCGAGGGCGGTAATATCGATTGGGGCATTGAGAGTGCACCCACGGATGCTGTGGAAATCAACTTTGACATTCCCGTCGAGGAGTACGGGATCGTGGTGGAGGGCACTGGCATGGATGGTGGCACTGCTAAAGGTGAGCTTAAATGGTTTCTCATCTCTCCACCAGCTGCTTATTGTCTCGATACTTTGCAGGTGACCAGGCCTATACACTCCTCGATTCGCCCAACTATCGGGATCGTTTTCTCGACGAGCTCTTCGAGCTGGAATCGTTTCTACGCTTGCGCCTCTACGAGCTCAACCAGCTGGAGTCCTCCAGCAACATAATGTACTCGCTCATGGACAGCATTGCCACACACGACGCAGACAGCATACAAAAGATTCTCGGCTACATAGAGAACATCATCCAGCAGACCTCCGATGAGCGAACGCGCCATCTATTCCAGCTGAAGCATTCGTCAAAATATGCGAATCTGCTTGCCACCAAGCTGCAGCAGATGACCAAGGCCGTGGAGAAGATCCGAACCACGCGCGAGGTGCTCAAGCAGCGTGCCGTAGATCTGCGGGAGCAGCGCCTGCACCTGAATCCCGTCCTCGAGGAGCTGATTGCCCAAACGCGTACGCTGCAGTCGCACATCGAGAAGGATATATCGAAGCGGTACAAGAATCGGATGGTTAATCTAATGGGAGGCGTCAACTAAACTAACCGAGTGACAATTCATGGAATTAATTGTTAAATCGGATTACTAAATAAATATAAATTAAATGTTGGGCTGGGCAGAACAAATGCGCGCATTGGTACATTTTTTAAAAGAAATTTATTCACTTTTATTTTTGCTATTTTTATTAAATATACAAATTTTATTTATATCGTGTTGTTTGTTTTTTTCTTTTAATTGCCAGTTTTTGTTTTTTGCTTGTATCCAGAATACAAATCTAATTTTAGTGAAGTTTGTTGTTGGTTTGTTTTGTTTGTCTGTTGCATAAAAGTATCCTTAACATTTAACGTTTTAAACTTTCACTTAATGGTACAATGCTTATGTTGCTGGATCTGAATAATATGTAAAACAAGAACAACGTTATCCTGATTAACTTAAATGATTGTGGGCCTGTCTTGTATCTAAGGAAATTCTTGCAAATATATTTAACCAAAGACTAAACAATACAAAGATGTTGCATGAGGAGCAAATGCTTTTTCAATTATCGGTTTCAATTCTCTTTTAGGCTATGCTTCGCCGCTGAAATTCTACTCAGCTGCGACAATGCAGCGGCTAGCGGCTATCCAATGCGCTTTGGATATAAATAATATATTGAGAATTATCCAAAGCTTTCAATTTAATATAAATTCAAAATTGAAATTTATTCACTTATTAATTTAGCAAACTAAAATTGCCCACTGTGCGACGGAGCTGAGGCTCATGAGTTGAATCTTCTGCCTGAGCAGCAGGGTCAGAGCCGGTCAGAGACGGAGCATGGGCGAAAAGAGAATTGAGACACCGCGCGCTCCCTCTGTCTATATCACCCCGCCTTGGAAGAGCTTTTTGGTCGCTCTTGCAGACGTCTTGGTAATGTAAAGTCTTTGATGTAACTCAATTGGGAGTGTCGGGGAGGCAGAGTGGAAAGGATAGAGGTGTGGGCTGGAGTGAGGGAAGTGCTATAGAATACATAGCTCTACTAGTTATACAAGGTTTTGGGTGTAAAAAGCCACAATATGCTGAGGGGGGGATATGGGTATACATTGGGATATGATATCAACTAGACTTAGGCACTAATCTAACAAAAGTGTGGCTGGCGGTAATCGTCGGAAAGGCTTTACAAGTGTAATTCGTAATCAATTCATTAACTAAATAGAAAATAACAAGTACTAACGAGAGTACAATTAATTATATGGGAAAGGGGAGGAGGGGGAGGCCTCATGATATGGTTACAACTTTGTGTGTGGCTTTTCGGCCCGGGCTCCGAGCGTCGTTTCTACTTGTGATGCATGGACCCAGCGACCCGACCCAAGCTCAAATAAATCTCATCTACAATGTATAGGGGTCCGTCTGTCTGTCTGTCTGTCAGTCCGTATGTCTGTCTTCGGTGTAAATATGAAGATATTGTACGAGTATGTGTATTGGTTGTTGGATACATACGCATTTCTGTGTGGGGTGTCTGTGTGTCTGATGCATGCAACATGCAACTGCATGAACTCGTATCGTAAATGTTAAATAAGCATAAAATTTGTTCGAAAGTTGCTCGTGGTCTGACGTTATTGTTAGTAGTTTACTTAGACACTAATTTTTATATGTTTCATATAATTTATGTATAATTATTTATAGCTTTTTTTATTCCTTTTCTTTTCGCGTGTCCTTCGCTTACGTTCTACTATTTATATGTCTGTAGATATATTTTTATATATACATACGCATATATATATTTATATGTATGTATATCCGTATATACTCTTAATTTTGTTTATTTTATGTACTGTTGTAAATGATTACACGTATCATAGCGCCGGTCGGATTAGAATTCTGAGCACTTTCCGCTCTAATCTGTATTGTATTGCTCTAGATTCCAACATCTCGTATGGATTTACCCCTTATCTACAACTCTCTATCGCATCCCAAAGTATCCACAATTTCACTCACATTCACTTACTATCTAAGCGAACCTCTCTTGCTTCGCTCTCATGTCCTGTTTTTTCTGATGTCTCTTCGTTTCCTCAATGAAACACATCGCCTCTCTTGGCTGTCTCCTCCGTCCACCAGCGATGATGTTGATGGTGGTTATTCGGTTGCTGCTGTTCCTGAGCTAGAGCAGCAGCTGGAGCTTGCTGCTGATGGGTTTGGGTATGGGGATACGGATGCTTCGCCTGTCAATCGTTTTTCACTGGATAGTAGATTAGATCTGGCTGCTGTCCGTGGGGTGGCATTTGCTGCATCATTCCGCCCATCATCGGTGGCAGCACGGCCTTTGACTCGTCACCTAGCATGGAGTATCCGACGCCCACACCTACTCCTGTCCGCTCGTACACATTGCCATGCGTTGCCGCTGGCGGCAGTAAGTGGGGATGTTGTGCCTGCTGGCCATGCAAGTGATAGGGCTGAAAACTGTTTTGCTTCTGCTGCTCACTGACCAGCTGGTCGCTCATATGCTGCTCATAGGCTCCCCCGTACACCGGGCCACTTCGCATCAAGCCACCCGGATAGCTTCCTGCATTGTGATGTTGCTGTTGCGCCGCTTGCTGCTGCTGCTGAGCCGTTGGCTGCTGCTGCTGCTGTTGCTGTTGCTGCTGATGCTGGATCAAGTCGAAGTTGTACTCCATTGGGGCGGGGCTGTCAATGAGATTCGTGAGTATACTGCCGATGTTGTTGTAGTTGTGAGGATCTCCCGGATTGGCCTGCCCTTGCGGCTGTTGCTGCTGGGGCTGCTGCTGTTGCTGTGGTCCCTGACTGAAACCTGGCGCCGGCCACATGTGCTGGAAGCTCATAAGATCACCAGCTAGAGCGGGATCTTGTTGGGGCTGCTGTTGTGGTTGCGGCGGCGGTTGCTGCTGCTGCTGCTGCTGCGGTTTGCTCACAGTTTGTGGTGGCTGCTGTTGGGCTGGCGGCACATTCATTGGAAGCCCTAGAAACTCGGCCGAATCTACAATATAGAATTTGTTATCCTTCAGCTCCTGCTGGTTGTTGGGGGGATTGCCAAAGTTCATGTTGCCCCACGAATCTGCGGCCTGTTGTTGCAGAAATTGTTGCTGTTGCTGCTGTTGTTGTACTGGCGTAGGTTGCGGCGACTGCAGTCTCGCATGCTGTGGGGAATGCGACGGCTGCTGATGCTGCTGCTGCAGCTGCTGCGTTGATGGATGGTGGTGCAATGGCGAACGCTGGTTATGACGGTGCTGCTGCTGCATCATCAGCTGGTGCTGGTGGTGCATTGGCGGCATATGGTGAGGGGAACTAAAGTGCTGCGGTTGCTGCTGCTGCTGGATCTGCGATGGATGCGATGGATGTGGAGGATGTGCAGCATGTGGACTCTGTGGAGTGTGACTCCTCAGATGCTGTTGCTGCTGCTGCTGCTGCTGCTGATACTGACTGATCAGCTGGTGCTGCTGATAGCTTCCCGCCGCTTGGCCCGCCTCGAAGTGAAACTGCCCCTCCTGACCGAAGCTATTCATTCGCTGCAAATGCATGTCAGCCGGGCTGGCACGCGGTGGCTGCTGCTGCTGTTGTTGTTGTTGTGTTGGAGGTGGCGTCGGATGTTGCTGGTGCAAAGCATTTGGTGGTGGTGGCGGTGGCTGCTGCTGTTGTGGAGGCGGCGGCGGCGCTTGTTGACCTGGCGGCAGCTTCTCAGCGTTAAAGCTCTGATTGTACATGGAATTCTGCTGAGATTCACTCGTCGACACCGAATGCTGTGACGTGGACGCCGTCGAGGATTGCGAGCTGTTGCTGCTGACCATCGCCGCATTAAATTGATCTTGCTGCAGGCATCCCGGAGTCGTTGAAACTGGTGGCGGCGGTGTGGGCGTCGCTGCAGATCCCTTCTGCTGTTGCTGCAGGGCAGCTCCCGCTGTGCCTGCTCCAGCCAGTAACTTTGCCTTGCCGGTCGTTGACTTTTTGCTGGCCTTCACAGGCGGCGGACCTGGCATATCCGGCAGAGCAGCCATTTCAGCTAATGAGAAAAATGAAAGCAGTTAGAAGAGAACGTTTAATGGTTAAGACAAACAACTACCTTCTTCGTTCGATTTGGGGAAGCGCTGCTTTCCCTTCTTAGGCGGCGGTGTTTGATTTCCATGCATCGTCTGCTTGTGTCGCACCAAATGGGTCTTCCACTTGAAGGTCTATTGAGGGGTGAGAGGTTAAACAGGAGGCTGCAGGAGGATCCTTGGCCTTAAAACACACCTGATCGCAGTAGTTGCAGCAATGCGGTCGCTCCTCCGAGTGAGACGGCAGATGCCTTTGCAGCGACTTGGCAGACCCGAAGCGCTTGCCGCATAGCGTACACTTGCACTCGGACACATCCACGTGCGCGTTGCTGTAGTGCTCTTTGAGTGCGGGATATGTGTAGTAGGATGAGCCGCACAGGTCGCACACATACGTGCGCTTCACCTCCGTATGCAGCTGCACATGCCGCTCCAGATTGGCCTTCAACGTAAAGCGATTATGGCAAATGTGGCACTCAAAGAAGTTGTCTCGCTTATGCACACGTATTATGTGCTGGTACAGGGCGTTCTTTGATGTAAACTCTTCGCCGCACACCTCGCAAATGGCGCCGTCCGCCTTGTGGCCCGTCTCCTCGAAATGCTGCTGCAGCTTCTTCTGCGGAAACTTCAGCCCGCACTCGCCACAGGGAAAGGCTGTAACAGAAAACAGAAAGGTTAGAACATCAACTCCATTCGAATTCCATTCCAATCTATGGCTGATTCCAGTTCAAGGGACTCCATTCCTCAGGAGAACTGGACGAAATTTACATTCACGCCGACTCACTTTTGAAATCCTTCTTGCTGTGCGAATCGACATGGGCGTGAAACTGCTGCTTCCGCGAGTACGACTCGCCGCAGGTTTCGCAAACGAACGGGAACTCCTTCACATGCATCGTCCGATTGTGATGGATTATTTCCTAGGGAATACAAGAAACACAAAGGTTATCATCTCATCATCTCATAAATATCTTCGTAATTACCTCTAACGTGTTGCCATTGGGTTGGCCGCAATCGTGACAGAAGCCCGGATGCATTTTATAGTGATCCAGCAGAGATTTTCGCTTGCGGTAGGACTTTGGGCACAAAAGGCAATTGTAGATGGGCTT